TCGTATTCCCACATTGTCGTATTCCCACATTGTCGTATTCCCACATTGCCCTATTCCCAAATTGCCCTATTCCCACATTGTCCTCTTCTCACATTGTCGTATTCCCACATTGTCGTATTCCCACATTGTTCTACTCCCAAATTGTCCTATTCCCAAATTATCCTATTCCCACATTGCTCTATTCTCACATTGTCCAACTCCCACATCGTCCTATTCCCAAATTGTCCTATTCCCACATTGTGCTACTCTCAAATTGTCCTATTCCCACAATGTCCAACTCCCAAATTGTCCGATTCCGAAATTGTCTCATCCCCAAATTGTCCTATTCCCACATTGTCCTATTCCCAAATTACCGTATTCCCACATTGTCCAACTCCCAAATTGTCCTATTCCCACATTGTTCCATCCCCAAATTGTCCTATTCTCAAATTGTCCCATCCCCAAATTGTCCCATCCCCAAATTGTCCCATCCCCAAATTGTCCCATCCCCAAATTGTCCCATCCCCAAATTGTCCCATCCCCAAATTATCCTATTCCCAAATTGTCCCATCCCCAAATTGTCCCATCCCCAAATTGTCCCATCCCCAAATTGTCCTATCCCCAATTCCCATACCCCAAATGCAAAAATTTCAAATTTCTCAAACATCCAGAAGCAGAAATAGAACAAAAGGGTACATGTGCAACTCCCATTCGGATTGACATAATAAATATTTCCTCCGGGGTGTTGCCAACTTCCTCCACATCACGGTGTACTTTTAACGCTGCAATTCAGCAGTAAATGCATCATTAGCGATCAAAGCTCTGTTAATTCGTTTTCAGCCAATTATCACTGACATTAAAAAGTCCATCACTAGGCTTCCGTTCGATGGGATAAGTGAATTATTTTTCAGGCAGAGAACTCTTTCTCTCTCGAATAAAGTGTGATGGTACGATTCGAATCTTGACTGTTAATGTCAGACATTAATGTTAATGTCAGTACCAAAATTTTTGGTTTGTTCCAATAATTCAACTCGTAGATACATAATTATTTGCTTCCATTGTTAATGGAAAGTTTAATGAAAGTTACTGCAAGTTTATAGAGCGGTTAAGTGTCATCAATTTGTAGACATTGTAATATTTTATGCAATTGCTGTGTATATTTCTACGCTTGTATAAACGTAGAAGCATCCTCGGCGAAGTTAAAATGCAAACTTCGGATTGGGATTGGAGGAGCTGTAGGAAACAATCTTTAACAAGGAACTTAGCTAACAATTTTAATGATGATATAAGAATGCTCGATCGGTTTGCAAGAAAATTGCTCCAATTTGTTTCATTCGTTCCGAATCTCATCGAAATAACTTGTGCACTGCGTTCAGACGTGATGTATCTATTTAATTCATATATTTCAAAGTACATACTTCATACAAAAATTATACATATGTAAAATTGATAAAATTATACATGAAGGATTTCTCAGGTTAAGGACATTTTGCCTTAACAATAAAAATACACATTACACACATAATCAAAATAAATATAAAGTAGAAATAATCAACTATTTTAACATACTAAAAATAATTCCCAAAATCCATAAAAAAAAACAAAGTAAAATAAAATAAAAATGGATGAATATTTAAAACGAGTCCGCCATGTAGAATCAGCGATAAAAATTCTGTGCGTTGATTACAGGTCGGTTTATTCCGTCGCGGCGTCAACATCAGTTCCGAAGTACGCGGAGGATCGGGAAATATTAAAAGCGTTTATAAATACAGCAGATGAAATGCAAATTTCCCGACTTTACGGCTGGCCAAGAATCTCCAGGCAGATTTCGTAGCCGGAAGTTCGCGAAACAACGGACTCGTGTTTCACGCTCGAAAGCGTAGCGCCAGAGAAAACTTTCAAGTTGGCGGAAATACACGGCTCGAATAAGACGAAACAATAGTTGGACCAATTCGTTCGTCAACGACACCTTTCCAGACAAACCATGTCCGATCGATTCTAACGCGATCACACGTTCGAGTAATTTTTTTCTTTACGAAGGATCTCTTTTCGCGGCGATCGAGTTAGGGCTAGTCGGAATTTTCAGAATTTTTGGGCAAAATTAAAGGACCTCAAATTCTAAATAGGTGTACGTAGTTCAGATACTAATGCTGTATGTTAATATCTTGTATTTCTACCTTTTGGTAGCTTGGATTACAGAGTATCTCACAACTAGTATAACTCTTGGAATTGACTGGTGGGGTTCGAGATTCTGAACAACTTTTCCCTTTGCAAAAATTCGATCTGAAGCTTCGTTTTTGAAATATTAAGGAAAAACACGGACCAATCAGAACGCGAGGATTACGCAGGCGCAGACGCTAGGCTGCAAGTTGCGCTCTCGCGTCTGCGCACGCGTCGCGCGCTCTGAGGACTATGCGCGCGCAGGCGCTAGGCTGCAAGCTGCACTCTCGTGTCTACGCACGCGTCGCGCGCTCTGAGGCTATGCGCGCGCAGGCGCTAGGTTCGATGCAGCGCTGTCGCGTCTGCGCGCGTGTCCCGCGCTCTGATTGGTCCGTGTTTTTCCTTAATATTTCAAAAACGAAGCTTCAGACCGAATTTTTGCAAAGGGAAAAGTTGTTCACAATCTCGAACCCCATCACCCTATTCCAAGAGTTACACTAGTTGTCAGATACCTTGTACATTGCTGGATCATATGCAGTATTTCTTCATTATTTTCCTAAGTATAATTCTTTCCAACTCAGATAAGAATTCCAACACAGTGGTAAGAGTAAACTAGTCTTGTTAGTAGTCTCATTTTCTATGGCATTCACCAAATGTGCCATCGATACTTGAGTCTAACCTCAACACACATCCTTTAATCTCTCACCTAGCCTGACACAATTTGATTCTCATCGATTAACACTATTATCGACTAACAAATCGTCCACATTATTATATCGTTACCAAGGTACTTAGTAGTAATATTGCATGACCTAATTTTCCCTACATGAAACAATGTTATACACAAAATTTTTAAGCGCGGACCTAATTCGATGACCAAGGACGTAATTCGTTGTTTCGTTACAGGAAACATTTCGGACGCTATAAAATAAAACATTTCACGGGATAACGTGGTCACCGATGTGTCCACCAGAAAATATGCGCACGTGGATGTGTATATGGGTTATAAAAAAATATGTACGGGTAGATGCGGCGAGTTCGTACGCGGACATTTCCGCAGCGACGCCATCGCGTACGGCGCTGTAAATTGAACACATGTTTTGCATTAGCGCTGCCATTTTCGAGGTACACTGTTTCGCGAAAAATCTACATTCCGAAAACCTCGATACATTACCGCGCTGCCTGACGGATTGCCATTTCGCGAAATGCTGCAGGTTTCCTATCTGGATTCGACAACTTGAAGGACGATATATTGCTTCATGGAAGTAATGCACTTTTGCTGATTAGCTGTACATAATCACATCTTATTCTATTAGGTCAAAGTAATTTTTTTAACGAATTGTTTGGTATGAATTACATAATATATAGTTTCTTTATTTATTAAATAAGTAAATGTGGGAAAAATTCCAAACTTAAAATTACATTTAAAATCCAAAACCCTAGTTCAAAATCAATAACCGTAAAAGTTAAAAAGCTCCAACACATAACGATAAAATATTAATCATTACGGTACGAAATTTCCGAGATAATTGTACCGTGTCCGTAATCAGAGACAGCTACAGGATTTTTCGTGTTATCAGATACACAGGCTAATTTATATTCACGGGTACATTAATCAATATACTTTCATCGCAGAATTCATTGAGCACGATGTTAATGTTGTGTAGAGATATTTATTGATCGACACTCATTGTATTTCTGTTCCCGACTACCTGCAAATTGAATTGTTACTTTTGAATAGAATAATTTGCTTCACACGTTACAACATTAATGTTACAATGTTTATACAAAGGTATTAGCCTGTCAACGGTATCGTTTATTATAACTGCTATTTGCTTTAAAAATTTTCATTTCAGGAACGTTATCACCGAAATCACTTGCAAGTATAATATATTGCAAGCTCATATTTCAATGAATAAATATTTGTTGTTAATTTTATAGAAATTTCAGGTGATGGGATAATACGAAAGCTATGTATAGAACTATTAATTTTTTAAAATTTATCTTAGGTATGCAACATTCATTTTGTACAGTTTTGTACTACCCCAGTTCATGAGAACTCATTAGAAACTTTGACTATTACTTTAAACTATTTCACTATTATTTCTATAATAGTGGATTATTTCTATAATATTATTTCTATAATAGTGAAATATATTTCTATATTATAATAGTTCATAACATCTATAAACCACAAATTTTGTACTACCCTAGTTGATGAGAACTCATTAGAAACTTTAACTATTACTTTAAACTATTTCACTATTATTTCTATAATAGTATTATTTCTATAATAGTGAAATATATTTCTATAATATAATAGTTCATAACATCTATAAGCCATAAATTTTGTACTACCCTAGTTGATGAGAACTCATTAGAAACGTTGACTATTACTTTAAACAATTTCACTATTATTTCTATAATAGTGAAATATATTTCTAAAACATAATAGTTCATAATACCTATAAACCATAAATCTGTAATTCGGAAGAATTGATCGGTAAAAATCGCAGTGCGTCCCAAGCACCGAAAAAAAATCGGCGCGCGTAGATCTTCGGCGGGGTGGAATCTATGGGGCAGAGTAGAGTGTTGTAGGGTGGTTGCATGCAGGGGTGAGCGAAGAGTACATGCATCCTCATAAGCCGCGACAAGGAAATCTCGTGGCTGTAGGTGGTGTGGCTGGCCGCGGGCCCATCGTTCTCTCTCTGGTGGCTCGGTAACCCCGTCTGTCGTTCGCGGCTCGGCTCGTGGCCGCTCGGCGCCTCTCGGCCGTTTCCGGGCGCGCTCCGTCCGCGAGTCGGCGCGCGCCTCGTGTCCCACCGTACGCGTCTCTCAGTGATTACCGTGCAGTCCTCGCGACACGACCTCTGTCGATCGTGTTCCGTCGCTGCCGTGACACACGGGGGTTTGAATCGTGCGCGCGCTACGCGTGATACTACTTCGGTGACCGGATGCAACGCGTGTCGGTAAACGGGTGCAGTGTAACTTCGGTGACGTCGAGAAGATTGGCCGCGGGGGTACAATGGATCGGTCGCGTGGCGAACGACGGACAATGAGACCCGTAGCCAGGAAGGCTTGACGGGTCTGCACGCGGACCGCGAGAATATGCGGTAACACGCGACCCCGATCCACCGAACTTTTCAACAAGTTGCAACGATCGACTTGCCACCCCCTTGGCTAAGGGCGAGTGTCTGTGTTTGTGTGCGTGCGTGTCTCACGGGACCTGCAGTGAATTGTTCCGCAGAAGTTCTCCGTGACTCTCGCGTGGAAATTGTTCGAGATTCGCTGCTCCTTTTTGCGCGGACTGGAACAGGTAAGTCGTGAAGGGATTAGCCTTTTTGTCGCCGCGCTGAGAATGCCCTTCCTGTTGGGATTCTACCGTCTTAATCCTTCGCACGGCTCACGCGATGCCTGAGGTGATACTGATCGATGGAAACTCCGTTTTCCGTCGGGTGGGTTATGTGCAGTTTTTAGTGCCTGTGCTTCGTGCAATTAGAGCTCTGATTATATCCTTCGATTTCCTTTGAAATGACGGTTCGACGACGACTTTGTTTTAATGACGTCGCTGGAATTCCATTAAAAATATTACGTTTCTTCACTATTGCAATTAACCTCGCACGTAAAAGCGTGTAGATAGTTCCTCGCGGTATATTGCCGTTTTTATTTTTATGGACACTTCGAAAGTACCCATAAAATAAATTACACATATCACAAAGTTATTATATATTTCTTAATTTTTGTAACATCACACAAATTTATTTGTTACCTTCTCGTTATAATCACTGAATCACTCATACATATGCAATATATCAAAATCTGTTATGTGTAAATAAATGAACTAATAAAGAACGTAATTCAGGAGATTATATTTGAGAGGCCAAAAAAGTAATTTTTACTAAAACCAAGAAAGTCATGCAAGGGGAATAATTCTTGAAATAACGTACACCACCGCGCACAAACTATTAGAGCAGAAATTATAGATTTCACTTTGATAGGATCAAATCTGACCCGACCAAAGTGCTTAAGGATTAAGCAGGATGAAAATTCGAGAGTTGAGTACGGATTAAAATTGCTCGCACAGGTATTATGTCCAACAACGCATAAAAATTAAACGCGAATTTATATGTTAAATACCGTCAGCATTAAAATTTGTTAATTAACATTACAATCAGTTAGAAACATGTTAATATTCGATGACAAAATATAATTTTAAAACATAATCTTTTTAAACCAGTTAATTTGATCCTGTTTGTTTGTTCACATTTTGTAGAAACTTGAATCATATTTTATTACGAGTCTTTATGAAACCTTCCGTAATTAAAATGAAACATTTGTGCCATATTAAAATTGTAATTAATATGAAAATTTGATGTATCTGATGCTTTTTCGAACATTACAAATTAGTTGAAGTAAGAAAGATAACGAAGAGTTACATAAACTTACGTAATTAATTAACGAACCAATATTGCATTACCAAACAAGCAACAGTTTACAGAGTAAACTATACGCGATACATCCAGCATCTGCACTGCCCATTTCTACAGTATCAAATTATCAGTGAAACGTGCCTTCCCGCGTATTTTGCTTGGAAAACCTAAATTTTACTCCGGATGCGTGGAATTCCGGCGCGTAATAACTCGACGCGTGGGATTTCGACGCTTAGTAATTCGACACGTGAGAATTCGGCGCTTAGTAATTCAACGCGTGAGAGTTCGACGCGTGGAATTTCGGCGCGTAATAACTCGACGCGTGGAATTTCGGTGCGTAATAATTCGACGCGTGGAATTTCGGCGCGTAGTAATTCGACGCGTAAGAGTTCGGCGCGTAGTGATTCGACGCGTGGAATTTCGGCGCGTATTAACTCGACGCGTGGAATTTTGGCGCGTAATAACTCGACACGTGGAATTTCGGCGCGTAGTAATTCGACGCGTGAGAGTTTGACGCGTGGAATTCCGGCGCGTAATAACTCGACGCGTGGAATTTCGGCGCGTGGTAATCCCACGCGTGAGAGTTTGGCGCGTGGAATTCCGGCGCGTAATAACTTGACGCGTGGAATTACTACGCGCCGAAATTCGATGCGTGAGAGTTCGACGCGTGAAATTCCGGCGCGTAATAACCCGACGCGTGGAATTACTACGCGTATTAATCCGACGCGTGAGAGTTTGACGCGTGGAATTCCGGCGCGTAGTAACTCGACGCGTAGTAATTCAACGCGTGAGAGTTTGACGCGTGGAATTCCGGCGCGTATTAATCCGACGCGTGTAATTCCGCCGCGTAATAACTCGACGCGTGCAGTTACCATACGTCGAATTATTACGCGCCAAAATTCCACGCGTCGAAACATAAAATTGATCAGACCGCAATTTCCCAAAAATAAAGACATAATTTTCCAACGTAGCATTCGGTATTTCGAAAGCACATTCGCGTGTACACCGGTAATACATCAGTATTCTACGCGGCTACAAATACTTGCTGCGTTCACATATCTCGACGTTGTTTACAACATTGTATCTGGAAAGCTTCATCTACCCATTCGTCCAAACAACCAATTTCAATCTCCGCGACGTACGTGATGCACAAACGGTAACATTTTATAACGCAACACACCGCAGTTACACGCAAAATTCATACGCAAATTACGAGTTGAAACCCGTTGATTACGACTAAAGAAACCCGGTTGCGCTGTTGGGCGTCTGCGGTTAGGAATCCACTTAAAACTTGTGCTCCCGGAGCGAATGCCCGCAGTAGTCGATGTCAGCCAGTACAAAGACAGGGGCTTGCTCGCCGCCAAATTTTCACGGCGAACCGTCATACATACATAGGTATGCCCATATGTACATAGACACGCGTGATCGAACCACGCTCTACCGACTGGATTTTCTAGAAAGTTTGTTAACGGGATCGAGGAGAACTTTAATTACAGAATTATTCGGGATAGCTGACCAATGCAGGGGCTGATCGCGGAAATATTCCTTGATTGTTATTCTGAACGGAAAATTCCGAACTCAATTATTAATTTATTAGTTACGGTATTGGTCGGTTTTATTATTTAAACCTTTGGTTATTGATTGGTTCTGTATTTCTTTGATTTGGTGTGCGGAACGTGTTACGCGTTGGTTCATTACGCGTTGAATTACTATGCGTAGAATTATTACACGTCGAATTATTACGCGCCAAAATTCCACGCGTCGTGTTATTACGCGTCGAAATTCCACTCGTCGAGTTATTATGCGTCGAATTATTACGCGTCGAATTACTACGAGCTGAAGTTACCACGTGCCGAGTGACTACACGTCGAAGTTACCACGCGTCGAATTACTACGCATCGAGATTACCACGCGTCGAATTACTACGCATCGATATTACCACGCGTCGAATTACTACGCGTTGAAATTACGCCGGATCGAATTACTACGCATCGAGATTACCACGCGACGAATTACTACGCGCTGAGATTAGCATGGATAGAATTACCACGGATTGAATTACCACGCGTTGGATTACCACGCATTGAGATTACCACGCGTCGAATTACTACGCGTTGAAATTATCACACATCGAATTACTACGCATCGAGATTACCACGCGACGAATTACTACGCGCTGAGATTAGCATGGATCGAATTACCACGGATTGAATTACCACGCATCGAATTATCACGCGTTGGATTACCACGCATCGAGATTACCACGCGTCGAATTACTACGCGTTGAAATTATCACAGATCGAATTACTACGCATCGAGATTACCACGCGACGAATTACTACGCGCTGAGATTAGCATGGATCGAATTACCACGGATTGAATTACCACGCGTCGAATTACTACACGCTGAAACTACTACAGATCGAATTACCATGCGCCGAATTACAGCGCATCAAGATTATCACGCGTCGAATCACTAAGCGTCAAATTACCTCGCGTCAAATCATCACATATCTTTCTACTCGTCGAATTCTCACGCATTACAACACATTCCTCCATTCCTTACATAGCCACACTCCAAATCTCTCAACATATCGCCACGCAACACAAAATAAAAGCTTGTCAACTCAAATATACAACCAGTTGCAAAAATTCTACGTTCGCACAATCCAGCGGCAATATTACGAGAACCTCCTAAAAACCGTGATTGAATCCGAGTTTTTCGCCGGACCCGATAAAAAGTTAATTAAGAATGATACTTTTGGATAGCAAAATTGGCAAAGTGAGAGCTCTTGTAGGTAGTACGAGCTTCTAAACAGTTTCATTGGCCCGAAAGCTTCCTTGAGAGTAATTTAAATGTGCCAGCTACACTGGCTAGAAGCGGTAGCTCTCTTTGGAGACCGATTATTTACTACCACGCTCGAGCACAATGGTTCTATCGCAAGAACGTGCAATTTAGCGAGCAGCTTCTATCATTGTCTTGACCTTTTTTCTTCGCTGAATCAATTAAATTCGTTGAATTTACTGGTGCCGGGAACTGCTTTTGTACGACGAACAAATTAACCGTGCGTGTTGTTACGTGCATGTCCGCTCTCGATAAACGAGTGTTCGGATTCCGGAAATATCCTCGGGAGGATACGTGTTCGAAAACATCGTGTACCGATATAATGTATTATGCTAATAGAACAGTTAGCAAACTCCTCGTTAATAATGTTAAGGTGGATCGGTTAGAATCGTGGATCGTTACGGTGAATAATTAATGTTCCGTGATTAATCTTAACAAGGATTAAAGAACAACACGACCCCTTAGGATTCCCTGGAAGAATAAATAACGTGGAACGGTTCTCTCGCTTTCTAAGCTTCGGAGCGTGATTAATCTTCCGAGTACCTCATAATCGAGGCACCGGTTCAAACGGTCTATAAAAAAATAACGTGTCAAACTTCTACGATTCGGAACTGCTGTGATTAATAGGACGTAAAACGCTTCTAACGCCCGATACAATTACTTCAATGAAATCTATTATCAATGGCGCATGAATAACTACTCGCATTAGCATAATAGTATAACGACAGAAACATGATAATGAGAAAGTAATAACAATGACAGTAAATGTACCTAACAATAATTAAAATATCTTAATCGATCTCTCGTATCAGAAAATACTTTCACAGTGAAATAAACAATAATCACTTAACAACACGTTCGAAACAACAAAAATGCGCATTCCAAGGGAAGACAACGCTTGAATGGTGTTCGCAGAAGTAAAGACGTTTTCATTCTTAACTCCACTAGAGAAGAAGAAGGAGAATGAGTAGAAGAAGTAAAAGAGAAACGAGCATAGCAACGTTAAATCATAATTACATCGTCCGCTGCTCGACTCCTTTA